TAAAAGGTATATTGACCCACCTGTAGATCTCTCTATGTTTCACCAATTAAAAAGCGTGTATTATTTGCATATTATGTGAATAAAATCGAACTAGCAAATATTTGGTGCCTCCCAGTTACTTCCTATTGTAATTTTCAGCCTTCTCCAAATTTTAGATTTTTTTTTGTCCAATAATGTAGGACAAATTAAATTTTACCTTTTAGAATTATCACTGAGTATTATTTTATTTTCTTTAACTTAAAAAGGTTATATTTTGCCAATTTAAACTATTAATTTGTAAAAATCTTTTGCTGAGAATTTGTTATGTAAACTTTAAAAATAAAAAATATTGATGTATGAGTTGCACATGACATCTTAAATCATATCGAATGCTTAAAACGACATTATTTTCCTGAAAAGAAGCGAAAGAGAATAATAACTTTGTTTTAAACATTTTATAATATTTGAAATGTCATTTGCGAAATACATGTTAATTTCCATTTATTTATATAATGATTTTTTAATGAAAAGTTCACATTAATACAAATTAAAATTTTAACATGAAAAAATGTCATTTTTTTTAATTGAGGAGAATAAAGAGATACTAATAAATAGGTCAAAAAGAATATAGTGTAATTATCTAAACATGTGACAAAAAAGTGGGGGCGTCTAATAATCTTCTCTTTTATATTTTTAGTTCTTTCTAATTTTTTTTTTTAACACACACTGTAAATTGTAAACATTAAATCTGAGTCGATTTTAATTTTAATTTTTTTAGTGCTTAACTGCTATACAAAGTTTAAACGTTTCAAGCATTTTCAATAGAATGGTAATTTCACATCATCAATGGTACGAAAAAATTATTAGGTATTTTTGGAAGATCGCGTATTTATATTCTTTTACTAATCATTATTCATCATGTCTTTTCATATTTTTTAATTACTCAATATAAAATTATAATCTCTATTTTCTTCACCAATTATAATATCCAAGAGTATCACATAATCGTACTCCAAAAGTACCAAATAACTTCTCAAGTGATACATAAAATCACCAACCAATGATAAATCTATATGAGAGGAGTGAACCCTCCTGGACACTGTACCACATAGACAAAATAATAATAATAATAATAATAATAATAATAATAATAATAATAATAACAACAAACAACTATGGATGTAATACTATGTCATCAATATCACTGTTATATTAAAAAAAAAAATTTCCTCACAAAGTCTTAGTGCACAATGCAACACGACATCTTCCATTTTTTTTAAAAAAAGTTATTTTATTGCAAAACCTCATACTCTATTTCTCTCTTTCTACTTTTCTTTTCTTTTTCTTTTTTTTTTTCGTGCAAAATTGCTTCTTTTTTTTATTTCTTGTTTAGGATACGCCCCTTCTTAACTACACCAGAATAGTTTAATACTATCACTACAAAATGCATAATTTTTTTTTATAATTTTATGACAGAAGTAAGCATATATAGTAACCTTTCTTTTATATTTAACTAGATAAAACTTTGCACGATTTTAGACAAATGACCAAAATTTAATTTAGAAATTAAATTTTAATCAGAGTGTTTGGTTTGAGTTTTGTAAATTAAGTTTTTTGAAAATTAAGTTTTTTATTGTTTGTGTTTTTTTGTCTTTAGTGAATATTTTTAAAATTCTAAGCATTTTTTTTACTTTTTTAAATGCATCTTACATAGATGTTTCTAAAAAATAAAATATTTGTGAAACAATATTTTAAAAAATTAATAAATACACAAAAATATGAAAAATGTACTAAATTTTTGCATTTTTTGTATTTTTGGTATTTAGTGAATTTTTTAATTATTTTTTAACAAAATTATAATTTTTAAGTAGATTTATGTTAGGTGTATCTAAAAATAAAAATAAAAATTGCTTAAAATATTTTTAAAAATTTAGTAAAAACAAAAAAATACAGAAAACAAGAAAGTAGAATTTTCTAAAAAGTGTTTATAGAAAACTCAAACCAAGCAAACTGAATAATTTTTTCTTTCAAATTTAGAAATTTAAAAAAAAAAAAAAATAACTAATCAGTTTTAAAATTTAAATTTTTATATCACTAAAATATATTAATCAATTCACATTTTCTATACATTTTTTCTTTTGATGTTTAATAATTTTATATGCATCGACATTCCAATCTATATATCTATATTACATCAAAGAGACATTTTATTAATAAAGGTAATGAAACCTCTAAAATTCGGTCACAAACTGATAAAGATAATTTTTAATGATTAGATGAATGTTACATTAGCATAAATATTGAGTCAATTAGCTTTTAACTCACTTCTAATGTTTAGTCGAATATTACAAGTCAATCCTAATTCATTTTCACAAAATAGTTATAACATAAGATAATTTACAATTTCGAGTAAATAAACTTTTAGGTTTTACAAAATAAGAAAAAATTAGTTTATTAACAAATGTAATTTACTACTATCATATGCTAAATTAAAATTATAAAATTTATAAAACAAAATATATTTATATTTTATCGTAAATATAATTTTTTTAATTTTTATTTAATTTTTACCAATTAAATTATGATGTACAATTTTTTATTCAGAATTTTTAACATAATTAATGACATCAGAATAAAAAAAACTGTTCTTATGTGTAACTCTGATAAAAATGAATAAAATTAATTGATTATGAATTATTTTTACTACATATTTTAAATAAAATTTATATTATTATTTTAATTTAGAATTTTTTTTTGATTATTTATTATACCCGTGAATAGAACGGATAATATGCTAGTAAAGTTACTTATATGTAAAAATATTTTAATATTTTTTTCTTAAGCAGATAACAAAGAAATTTATTTCATGTGTCACAATAATCTTGTTTGGTATACCTTCTTATAATTACTTATACTTTATTTTATTTGAAAAATTTGTGGCACAATATAACTTCAAAAAGTAACTTAAATAAGTTTTTAAAAATTTTATTGTATGAAAACCAGAAAAAAAATAATAATAATAATATTTTATACTTTATGATAATTAA